GAGGGACAATCTTCAACAAAAAGAGGGCTAATTTCCCTGTCTGATCCATTTGGTCACTGGAGCCCTATCATATAAGTTTTTGGCATTGTGTCCTGCCCAAAAGGATTATGTATGTACCAGCATTTTCTACATTTCCATATTTTGAGGTGTACTTTCTTCCCTCCCTCCCCCCGCATTACCTGTTTAGAGCAGGATTATCCCTTACCCTATGCACCTGCATAGGAGAGTAAGGGGCATAAAATTAATCCTGAGTGTGAACTACCTACATCATGGGTCACAGTATGGGATGGGTCGCAGTATGGGTCCACTGAGCTGCTACAATGGTACCAATGGTTTTTCAGACTGAACATGAATCTGCAAAATACTGGATTCATATCAGGAAATGTTACTAAATTAGTAATACAATACACCAAAAACACCTATTCCCCACCGCTGATCCATCCCCAACATGCTCACTGTGCTAGGGATTGGAACAAAGCTATTACATCAGCTCTACACCAGCTTGGGAGGCCTCCTATACAGGGGATATTGCTGGGGACTGTTTCTCCCCTTTCAAGGCCCATTTATGTCGTCGGCAGAGTACAAAGGGGCCATAAGGTAACTAACAATGAGGCCCATTACTCACCAAAATATTTTTCAGTATTTATCCAGTTGTTTTATGGATAAATAGCATCTGAAGTATCTTGTGACATTTTTAAGAGAGTAGCTATCTTCACAGGAATACAATGATTATAATTTTCAGTAACAGAATCACAGAACTATCACCCAGGCCGTTTGACCTGCCTCTCAATAACAAATTGGCTGGAGATATGATTATCAACAACTGCAGTGGTTCAGCCTGAAAAAAAGTGATGATATGCATATTGGAAGTTCAATCCACATATCTGGTAAACCTGTACATTTGAATTAAAAAAAAATATTTTTCTAGTATATTAGATTCAAGAAAACAGATTGTAGATCTGGGGCTAAGGAACATAGGACCTAGTATTAAAAACTGCTTTAATGGGAAGTAATAGTTGGAAATAAATATTTACTAGTTTCCTATGTTGCATGTTAATTAAAGAAGCATGTGTGTGTTTCTTGGTAGGCTTCTCTGATGGCAGTGGCATTTACAAAGGTTGTAAGTCTAATGTTGGCACATTCATAACTGGTGAAAGCATCATAGAGATTCTCTATTTACAGTGAAAATAGATTGGCATTTCTCCTGATCACTTCATCAGGGCTAACAAAAAGTGGCATTATTAAATCTCAGAAGAAACATCACCCATTTCATTTGTAACTTGGGAAAGGTGAACTGTGTTAAAATAAGAACCTAGCCAATGAATCTTTGCTCTTCCCTCACTCTGAACCTTTTTTTTTAAGATAAAGAAGATACAGTTAAGGCTGTGTCCTGGCATAGAAAAGGAGATAAAAGTTCTGCAATATGACTGTCTAGTTGACCTTCCCATTCCTGATCACTACAATTCTTGGTAAATTTTATTGATATGATTACAGGGCAGCCTCTTTACTGGGTTGTGATGCAGCTGAATTAGGATATAGTATTCTCTGAGGCATTCAGTGTGCTCCAAAGAGGTTGTTTACCTCTGGCCTATAGCATTTCTGTGGCAGTCTAACTGATGACATACCAAAAAGGGTTATAATCATGAAGGAACAAATGGCAATTTAGCATGAAGACAGTTAAAAACAATGAGATCTAATTAATCTGACTCACTGATTTGAGAACAAAGTTGGGCTTTCTCTGTTTTCAGGATAAATGGTAAACAAATGACTAAAGCACCTCCAACACAAATATCTTATTTGTATTAATCATAATAAAATACATGAGTGGAAAATATATTTTTTTCTGGTATCAATTCCCAGAACACAGTTATTAAACCCTGCAGTTTCTAATCTGGGCAATAAATGTAGGTCAAGGAAATCAGAAAACCTATGTCTGTAAATTTTTAAACCATTTCTTCAATCTCAAGGAAGAAAAGGTTTGCTCGTAGTCACACCAAGGTAAACTTTGCTTCACTCAAGATTTTAGTTAAAACTAGTTGGAGATCTATTTTTGTTTGATTACCAAGGCTTTTTGAACCTTTGTTACATCATCATTACATATAACATTGTGTAAACTAGTTCTAAATAAATTTGAATTCAAGGTGTCCAATTTTACTTTATAACCAAATCATTATGTTATTGTATGAGCTCCAAACAGAGACACTTTAATAAAATATTATTTTGAATCACTATGAAGTTGAAATACAAGTGACAGATACTGTGACTGCATGGTAATATACAATGTATAACCATTATTTACTTTATTTCTTTTAAAATATGCCATAAGGGCTCCACATTACAGCTACTGGTTTAAAATTCTAAAGTTTAATGATATGTAATTCTAAATAACATGGCCTTTTTACAATTACAAGACCATAAAATGGTCAAAACTTGTAAATTTAAAAAAAATAGACTTTAAAGATTACAAAATCTATAATAATTTCAGATTTCCATCCGTAATGGAAGCCACATCACTCCAGACATTTAAAACTAGACCATGATGTTCAAAAATCATGACTCAGGCTCCTCAAAACTGTGTAATTTTAAAAAAAGAAATGTGTTCTTACTTCCCTTCTGTTTTTTTAATCTTTAGTATATGCTTGGGTCACATTTTCAAGCTTTTTTCCACAACTAGAAGGGTTAGAAACTTTTAAATGAAAGCCTAATCACATGCCTCTCGAAACTAAGGCTTCTGGGAAAACACAAAAACAATGAGACTCATGATTAAATCATAAGAATTGGCAACACTGACTGCACAAAACACAGAAGAATATACTGTTGCTGCTTTAGAAAGGATATGGACTAGATGAGGTAATTTTCTGAGGTCTTTTCCATCTCTAGCTACTATGAATCTAAAGTTTAAAAGGAATTACACACATTGTTATTCTGCTTCTCTGAATGCATCATCTTGCAGGATTCTTATTTCTGGCTCTTATCTCATCAATACAATATTAATGGAACTACCTAGTTTTTAAAGTTTTTTGACTCTGAAGGGCAGGGAGTTCTCCTGCTGGCATAGGTAACGCAGCTCCCCAAGAAGTGGTAGCTAGGTCAATGGAAGAATTCTTCCGTCAACCTAGCCAAATCTATACCGGAGCTAGGTCACCTTAACTACGTCTCTTGGGTGTGAATTTTTCACACCCCTGAGCAACATAACTAGGTTGACCTAAATTTTAGGTGTAGACCAGGCCTAAGAAACCTGCAAGATTATCTTTTTAGGAAAGCAGAATGACTCAGGTCCCTTTTAGAGTAACAGCCATGTTAGTCTGTATTCGCAAAAAGAAAAGGAGTACTTGTGGCACCTTAGAGACTAACCAATTTATTTGAGCATAAGCTTTCGTGAGCTATAGCTCACTTCATCGGATGCATACTGTGGAAAGTGTAGAAGATCTTTTTATATACACACAAAGCATGAAAAAATACCTCCTCCCACCCCACTCTCCTGCTGGTAATAGCTTATCTAAAGTGATCACTCTCCTTACAATGTGTATGATAATCAAGTTGGGCCATTTCCAGCACAAATCCAGGTTTTCTCACCCCCCCACACTACCACCACACACACAAACCCACTCTCCTGCTGGTAATAGCTTATCTAAAGTGACCACTCTCCTTACAATGTGTACCTGAGTAATTATGTTGAACACAGTGGGACTACTCATGTATCTGAAGTTAAATACCTTATTGAATTGGGGTAGGGGACAAAAGTAAGGGCTTGGCTACACTCACATTTTATAGCGCTCTAACTTGCTGGCTCAGGGGTATGAAAAATCACCCCCCTGAGTGCAGCAAGTCACAGCCTTTAAAGCGCCAGTGTAAACAGGCTCTGGCACTGGGAGCTGCGCTCCCAGCGCTCAGAGCTAATCCCCTCATGGAGGTGGATTACCAGGAGCACTGGGGGAGCTCTCTCCCAGCACTTTCGCGCGACCACACTCACACTTCAAAGCGCTGCCATGGGAGTACTCCCGCTACAGCGCTTTGAAGTTTCCAGTGTAGCCAGGCCCTAAAGTTACCATCTGAGGAGGATTCCAACTCCTGGAGCTCAAGGGGTGTCCCAAAAGAACATGTGAGCACAACTGCTATGCTAACAGTCTATACAGGAAAACTTTTTACATATACACAGAAAGAGACTATGTACACACTATGGTTATCTATATTATATTAAAAAACTATGTAAAGAGAATGTTATGGTTGCCGAGTCAATGAATGGGTAATTACTCAATATTTCTTTCTATTCTCCTCATTCAACACGTAGACACAGGCAGGCTTGTCTCCACTACAGAGCCGTTGGGGTAGAGCTATGCCAGCAAAGCCTCCTGATGGAGATGCAGCAAATGCTGGCAAAGGAGTACTTCTACCCATGTAGCTATCCCACCTCATTGATTCCAAGGCCAGAAGGACCATTGTGATTATCTAGTCTGACCTCCTATATAACACAGGCCATAGAACTTCCCCAAAATAATGCCTAGATCATATATTTCAGAAAAACATCCAATCTTGATTTTAAAATTGTCAGTGATGGCTAATGTTAGCTATGCAGACAAAGGCACTCTTCTGTTAGTATAGTTGGGTATCTACTCTAGGGGTTCTACTGGCATAGATATGTTGCTTAGGGGGTGTGAATTTTTCTCCTAGCTGCCATAGCTATGCTGGCAAAACTTTGTAGGGTAGACACAGCCCTTATTTACCACAGACCTTCAAACCCTGCACTGAATACAAAACTAATTACCTCATGGGAATTTCTAAGGTGCTTTCACTATAGTATCTGAGTACTTCACAAATATTGATGAATTTATCTTCACAATGCCCCTGTAAGGTGAGGTGGTTTTAACACCCATCCATACCCCTTTTACAGTGGGAGAATGGAGACACAGAGAGATTGAGGCCCAAAACTGTCAAAGTATGCACTAAACTTGGATAGACAGCTTAAGACATCTAAGGCTCTGATTTTCCAGAGTACTTACCATTTTAATAGGACATTATATGCTCAAAATACAGTGTCAATTGACTTCAGGTGAAGTTGTGAGTGCTCAGCACTTCTGCAAATCTGACCTCAGGTGTTTCATGTTCAACACTCTGAAAATGAGCAACACACAATTAGTGGCTAACTGTGAAAATTTTGGCTCAACTTGTTAAGACTAGTATTCTCGTAGGAACTCTGTTGCAGAGGCAGGGATAGAGTCCAATTCTCCAGGCTTGCATTCAGCAGCTTTTGCAACAAATGATAAAGGGGTACTAGAGCCAACAACCTTATTTACTACACAGTCCTGATTCATACCCAGCGTAGGTCCATCCTGTGCACTGAGTGTGCAAAAAATAGCACACAATCATGTAATTAAATACTGAATCATAGTGCATGCTGCACAAGCAACCTTAATGCTGGTATTTTCCAACTTTTGAGTCTTTGACTTTGCAAACTTAATGTTATTTTAATGTTTTATTTGTTTATTTGGGGTGTACTTTCCTAAGTTTCTTAGAAAACAAACTGAAAAAACAGAAATCTGATCATGTGGATCCCAAACTTAAGTCATCAGCAGGGTTTGGACCTTTAGATTCACAGCATAGATTTCTGCCAAGGGAGCTAACAGAGTAACTGATAGTAGTCCTAGGCTGTTATTCTCTTCATGCCCCTGCCACTAAAGCAGTGGTTCTCAACCAGGGGTCTGTGTATCCAGCTACTTTGCACTAAGAGATATAAAATGGCTGAAATGGAACCAAGACTCAATCTATCTATTTTAGGGTTTTATACTTCTGCCCATCACTGTAGTAGCCAAACACCTTCCACATAAAATCAATAACAATACAGTAGTCCCCATGGGAGTTCATGCAGTTGCTAGTTCTTTCCCCTTTTGGGGGTAAAAACCTCCATTTCAGGTAAGTTTTTGTTTGCTTGTTTTTAGGGATTATGGAGTAGAAGAAGGTGTCAGTACAGTGAGTGTAAAATTCTTATGGTGACTTTTTCAAAGATGAAGGTTTTGCAACATTTCATGAAGACAGTCAATCTGCACTGCCTGATTTCCTCTGCAAATTCAGTGCAGAGCCAGACTGCCTTGATTAAAAATGTTTTGTTCTGAGTTCTCATATGCTTCATCCTGGACTTTGTGATCTTCATTGGACCAGAAGAATGCAGCTGTAAGGCCAAATCCTAATAGTAATGCTATGTAAATGTGTAGAGAGAGCAGCATGAAGCTGTTTTGAAGATGTCTGTGTAAAGAACTTCCTTGGGTTAGGCAATGATGGTCTTGTCTCAAATCAAGTGAGCCTGATGATTTTAGCAGCTGATTCAGGATTTTTGAGTACTTGAGATTGACAATACTGTGCCACTCACAGCAAATTGTTCAGATCTTCCCACTTCCTTCTACATACTTTGATCAAAGTGAAATAGTTAATGCTGACGTTTAAATTACCACTAACAGGCATCTATATTAACACCCATCCAGATGACTGGTCAGCTCACACTTCTCTGAAGTATTAAATCAGCACAGTATTACTAGAAAGGGTTTGGCTGTATAACTGTATTGGTAACTCCTCCTTTTGTGTAGATGCATGGGCTATACCAGTTCCCCAAAGAAAACTTAACTGGCAAAAGCATTTTGCTGGTACAACTGCATCTACACGAGGGCTTTTGACTGTATAAATATGTCATAAAAAACACACACCATAAGAGACATTACTGGCCAAAGTTTATAGAGTAGATCAGGCCTCAGATACAACCAATGGCATGATGTTTCCGTGAGTTTGCAGAATTGTAATAATTGAGGTTGGTCTACAGCCAGAACTTGCCCCAGTTTAACTAAAATCAGATTTCAAACTGATTTAGGGCTTGTCTACATGGGGAAGTTATACTGGCGTAAGGTAGGGTATGAATTTAAAGCTCTATAGTTATAGTGGTATATCTCCCTGCCTGAACACTTTTATTCTGGAATCAGGCTATGCTAGACTACGGATTTTACAATGGCACAGCTGTACTGCTACAGCTGTGTCGCTGTAAGGTCTCCTATGTAGCTACTTTATGCCAGGAGGAAAAAGCTCTCCTGCCAGCAAAATTAAACCTAAGAAGCAGAGGTAGTTATGTTGGCAGGAGAGCATCTCCCGCGGACATAGTGCTGTCCACACCGGCACTTTTGTCAGTGAAACTTCTGTTGATCGGGGGATGTTTTTTTCACACCCCTGACTGACAAAAGTTTTACCAACAAAAGTGCTAGTGTAGACATAGCTTAAGTCTAGTACCTTTTTCCAGTTTAGCTTATGTCACTTTGAAAGTGTTTTAAACTAAGGGCTTGTCTACACTTAAAATGCCACAGCTCCACCACTTTAGCACTTCAGTGAACTTTCCTATCGACCTAGCACTTGATCTTAGCCAAAAGGCCGAGAAGCCCCGAGTCTACACCGGGGCTTAGACCAGTTTAACTGCATCACTTGGGTGTGGATTTTTCACACCTGGGAACAACATAGTTATATTGACTTAATTTCCTAGTGTAGACCAGGCCTTGGAGCATGGCTACACTTGGAGATGTAGAAAGCTTTGAGTTAAACCAGCCTTTGTAGAGCACAGTAGGGAAGGCGCTGCAGTCTGTCCACATCGACAGCTTCAAGCGCTCTGGCGTGGCCACATTTGCGGCACTTACAGCGGCATTGGGAGTGGTGCATTATGGGCAGCTATCCCAGCATCCAAGTGGCTGCAAGGTGCTTTTCAAATGGGGGTGATGGTGGAGTGTGACAGAGAGTGTGTTGTGTGGATGTGAGGGGAGAGAGAGTGGGTTTTTGGGGGGCTGAGAGCAAGTCAGCATGCCGTCTTGTAAGTTCAGACCCCCCTCATTCCCCCACCTCGCTCTCTCACACACAGCATTCCACAGTAATGGTTGCTTTGTCTCGGAGGAGACAAGCAGCTGGCTGTCAGAAACAGAGCTTTCAACGGGCATTTCCGCATTCCTACAGCTGATTCCAAACAATGACAAGAGCGGCCACTTGATTTAAGGGGATTATGGGACATTTCCAGAGGCTGATCAGAGCGCAGTAAAGCAACACCTCGTTCACACTGGCACTGCGGCTCTCCAGCAGGGGTGCAGCAAACGTTATTCCACTCGCCAAGGTGGAGTACCAGGAGCACTGTAGCCGCGGAGTCAGAGCGCTCTACGTGTCTTGCCAGTGCGAACGGGTAGTGAGGTAGTGCACCCAGGGCTCCTTTATTGCGCTGTAACTTGCAAGTGTAGCCAAGCCCTTAGCTAAAAAAGCCACGCTTATTCCAGAATAAGAGTGTTCACATGAGAGAGTTATACCAGTATAGCAGTTTAACTACTAGTATAACTGGAAAAACCTTGTGTGGACAAACCCTTAGTTATTCCCGTGCAAACCCTTAAATGGGCAGCCTGACATCAGTTTGCCGGACTTATCTTTTTTAGGCCTGGTCTATGCTTAAAACTTTTGCCAGCGTAGCTAAGACAGTCGGAGCATGATCAACCCCAGTCAACACAACCCTGCTAGCAAAAGCCCTAGCACCCACAAAGTTATATTGGCAAAAAGAGCCCTCCCCCCAACACAGCTCCTTGCATGCCAGGAACTTGCACAGGAGTGAATCTACAGCTCAGGGGTGCTGAGAGCCATTGACCCAAACTGTAAACCATGTATATGATGGAAACTACTTCAAGCCAAGGGGTGCGGCAGCGTCCCTACTTCCAGCACTTATGCTATAGCTAAACCACTAAGTAGACCTGGCCTACCGGTTGACTAAGCAGAGAGAAGGATGGGCCACATCCACCAGTGCCTCGGTCCCTGCTCTGCACTCAGGACACCATCCAGTGACGGACTGGCCTCTCCCTCCAGCTGCCACTCATCGCTTCCAGCCAGCGCTACTACGCCCCGCCCCGCCCTGCGCTCCCGTCCCCTTCCCTTCCCTTCCCTTGTGCTCCAGCTCCGCTCGCCTCCCTCCGCCTCGCCAGCCCCGCCCGCCTCTGAGCTCCCTCCCCCTTCTCTCTCTCTCACGCGCGCGCGCGCTCCGCTCCCCCGCCCCTTCCCGGGCCTGGCGGCGCCTGCGCAGTGCGGCGGGGAGGCGGTGGCGCGCGGGGGGCCGCGCGGGCGCAGGAATGTGCGTTACAGTTAAATAGTGGGCGCAGGGGCTGCCGCCGCGGCGCTCGGAGCTGGGCAGCGCAGGGAGGCGGCGGTGGCGAGCCGCTAGGCTAGGCAGGGCAGGGCAACGGGTGGGCTCCATGGCGCGGCTCCCTAGGCGGTAGCAGCGGCGGTGGCGCCGGCGCCTCGCTCCTGTGAGAGACGCTTCCCCGCCGGGACCGAGCGGAGCTTGGCCGCGGCCGGTGCCGGGCGGAGCGGGGCCGCGTCTGCCGGGCGCGCCGGGGCTTGGGGCGGGCGGCGGCCGGGGCACCTCCGCCTCTATGATGAAGCTGAAGCCGAACCAAACGCGGACCTACGACCGGGAGGGCTTCAAGAAGCGGGCGGCGTGTCTGTGCTTCCGCAGCGAGCGGGAGGACGAGGTGAGCGGCCCGGGGCAGCGGCGGGGCAGGGCCCTGAGCTGGGCACTGGGGTGGGGCGGGGTCCGGGGCTGGTTCCCCGCGCCGGAGCCAGGCTGCGGGGCTCCCATCGCCCGTCCCCGCCGCTCCCTTTGTCCCGCGCGGGGTGTCGGGGGAAGGGGCTGTTCCGTGGGGAGTCCCGCTCTCTTCCCACTTCCCTGGCCCCGGGGCAGGGTAGCGGCAGCCGCATGGCTGGGTGCGAGACGCTGTCCCTCCCAGGCTCCGCGGCGCTTGCCTGAGGCCCGATCGGATCGCTTTGCGGTCTAGGGCGCCGGTCCTAGCGCGGCGCTTCGCCTTGGCGAGCCCGGGGCGCTGGGAGGCGGGCGGCCAGCTCCGGGTTTCAGACAGAACATGTCCCGGTGACGCTGTGAAGAAAGGTGGCGGGGGGCGGGGTGTCTCAGACCTCTCGGCTGTTGTACGGTGAATGGGGGCTAAAAGCCGTCTGTTCACATCACTGGTTCCGCGCATGTGGCAAAAGCGGCATCATCTCGGCATAACCCGTGCGCATCGCCCTGCCGGGCGTCTCGTTCCACTTGCGCACCCGTCGGGCTCCAGCAGGCGAAGACATGTATGTCTCCCTTTCAAAGTATAACGTAGCGAAGCATCACTTCGATTACTTTCTTTCATGTGTTTCAACTTCATTATTTCGGGGGACAGATATTTGGGACTCACCATTTTATAATCAACAAACCCAGCGTGTAAAGCGAAGTGCTGACAGATAGGCGGCACCAGCTGTGATTTGTGGCCAGAATCGTTATAGTGGGCGAAAACGGTTTCTCTGAATCTATTGTGTTTTAGTTTGTAGGCTATTTAGAATTATGACTTGACTGTACAGCAGTCTTCGTGCTGACGTTAACCAGAACATGATTAGCTTACAATAACTTCTTAAATGCTGACTTTCTCTTAATTAAATGTATATTCATTATTTGCACTTTTTTTTACCAAACATTTGATAACGGGATTTGTAATTTAACAGATTGTACTGCATATATTTGAAGATGAGGCATGCTTGGTGTGTGACAACATAGTGTTATGATGAATTTGGGATAAACCTGATTGTGCCCTTCTAATGAATTTGTGTAGTTGTCTTGGATTTTTACTTGTCATTGAAAGAACTTTGAGTCTTTAGCACAGAGTTTTGTGGAGAATGAACACTTTACAGTTTAAAAATATTGCATAGACATTTTCTACATTGCACTGAATTTTAGAGGAAAGTTGAAATGGTGAATTTAGATGTGAGCAGGGTCTTACGTTGCAGCAAATATAGGCGGCAACAAAGTTCTGTACCCTTAATCAAGGTCAATTGGACAGGCAGTCATTTAAGAACTTTTTTTGATGGTTGCATTGCACAATGTAATTAGACATTATCTGTGACTTGGAAGCATGAACACTAGAAACTTGAGTTAATAATGTTTTTAAATAACTAAAATGGTCATGAAACTTATCTACCAGAAATTTAAGACTTGGATGTTCTCTCCCCCCCCCCTTCATCTGCATATGGGAAGATGTCTTTTCTAAAGACACCATCTTGCAGGTTTCTTATTCCTAGGACATGGCACCTTAGTTTGAGACAGCAGAAGTTCCTTATCAGAGTATCGACCCTTGAGGTCTGCAATAGCTGGGGGGACTATCCTAACTTCTGGACATTCCACTCAATTCCTCCTTTACCATGGCTTGTAAAGGAGCAACCTGCAAGAGACTATGCCCTGGTCCACACTACAAACTTGTCAGTATAACTGTGTTGCTCAAGGGTGTGAAAAATCCACACTCTTGGGGAATGCAGTTATACTAACCAAACTCTCAGTGTAGATAGTGCTCGTGCTTTCTCTGGTTGGTCGCATCTTCACTAAGTGCTACAGCAGCATTGTAGGTGTAGACAAGCTCCATGTCTCCTCAGCTATTGCACCACCTTTTCTTTGGATCCCGGCAGCACTTCAGGTGTTCTGGCACACTTCAGTGCTTCTGCAGTTGTTTTTCTCAAATTTGAGTGCCTAGCTCAGTACTCAGGAACTGCTGGTTTTTGCCTTTCTTGGTGCCCAAACAACTGTTTTGTTCAGCACTGTTACAGCTTTCTTGTCTCACTGAATCAGAAAAAGAAAAGGAGTACTTGTGGCACCTTAGAGACTAACCAATTTATTTGAGCATAAGCTTTCGTGAGCTACAGCTCACTTCATCAGATGCATACTGTGGAAACTGAATCAGGTGACATTAGCCAGTTGTAGGTGTTTAATTGCAGTGTAGACAGAACCTGTTTTTTCACAGCCCAGAGCAACAAAAGTTTTGCTGACATAAGTGCTGCTGTAGACATGGCCTTAGTTTAGGTGTTCAGAAATATACTGTTTCTTTACATTCCACATACTCCTTTCCACCCAGACAACTCCATTGAACAGCTAGTCATTTGTTGAATTAACTCTTAAGTCACATGAACTATATCATGGAACCTCAATAGAAGGTATGAAAAAGCAGTAACTTAAAATTCTTAATTTCATTAGATTCTTTGTGTTCCTCAAACCTCTTGTTAGGCTCCTGGTGTATGTTCATCACTTGTTCATATTACTTAGCCTAGTGCTTTCAGGAACACTTGGGGTGTACTCTCTAGTATAGCCTCCCCAGTTTGCTTTTGAGATGGGGCTTGCCAAGTGCTGTAGTAAATTCCAAACAATTAGCTGCTGTAATTAGAGTTCATCCATATCTGCATTTAGCATGCATTAACCTCTTTTTGGTACTGTCCAGGACACCCTGAGAGCGTACACTTTTTTAAATGTGATGCAGTCAGATTGTAAATTAAATCTTTTATGTATCATATTCAAGGCTGGCAAACTCCCCAAACCAGAAGTGTATAGAAAGATGCACAGGTTATCTATTTTGACTTACGTTGAATGTCAATACATTTCTTAAAAGCAATGTTGTTGCCTATGTAGCATCATATATAAAAGCATTTACTGTATAGCATAATATAAAAGCTCAAAGAAGCAACTAGCATGTACATGTAGTGAATGTTTGCCTCCTTTTGTATTGTAGCTCCTTATTGATCTCTGTATTCTTTTTTGTGGGGAACTTAATAAAATAGAAGGATCTCCTGCCTGATTTCGTCTGAGCTGTTTCGAACAATGTCTCCTTATTAGTAGGATCACTTTTTCTTCTGTACAGGCCTGGATTGAATGAACTTTCCAAATGGTTAGCTTTGATGTAAAAATCTGTCTGGCTTCTGTGCATTTGAAAGACCAGTTCTGTTCATGTTGCATCCCTGCAGACTGGAGTTACTTAGGATATGTCTGTCCTAGGAAAAAAGGTGTAGTTTTAAAACTTTATCTGATTGAATTAGGGTTTACCTGAGCTGTGTTTAAAAACACAAATGTCTTCTGTACACTAAGATTTTAATATTTAGCTAATACATGTTAAAAATGCGTTCTTTTGCCTAGAAAACGTGGCCACATACCCTGTCTTGATTATGGGAGAGTGTTTTTAAAAATTAGCTAATCTGACATTAAGGTGTCATATGCGCTGTTGCATCCGTGTTGGTCTCAGGATATTAGCGACACAAGGTTCAATAAAAGATATTTCCTTACCCATCTTGTCTCATCAAGATGTCATGTTTAACTTAATTTTAAAAAAGTGACCTTGTTTTTAAAACCACCATTTCCCCCAGTAAATAAAAGTCCTAACTGAGTGTCTGAAATGTGCTTTAGGCAGTATATAATACCTAAATCTGGGGGCATAGGGCTTTTGACTGGAACATATTCTGCTCCCTTAACTGTCAGAGTAGAATTTGTTCACAGGTATATTGCAAAGTTTTTGTTCAGTGGAGTTTTCTATTAGTGCTGGCTTGACAGAGGATGGTCTTGGTTTTGTAGTGTTCTATAATGTTGATATTAGGCCAGTTTGACGTGTTAAGTTTTTGATTTCTTTGGACCTAAAGAATTTTGGAGCCACTCTCTAAATTTAAATACTAATAAAATCAAATACCTAGAAGCAAAACCTCTCCTCTGCAAAAATGTAATGTGCTCTTCTAGGTATCTTAATGCCAAGACAGGTCAGTGATATTTAATTGGTCCTTCCTAAAGCAGTGAAATTATTTTACGCACAACTGAATGATTCTCAAAGGTATGGAACTTCTTCCTACTTCTGCAAAGGAAATATTGACATGCTGATCCGTAAACCATACTCTTTCCCCACTAACTACAAGCGGCGGTAAGCACAACACAAAGAGGAAAAATGGCTCTTGCAAAGAGCCCAAAGTGATTGTGATACTGAATTACCAGTAAAAAACATATTCTGCTGCAGTTTGGGCTCATTATTCAAGCTCAAGTGAGATCCTATTTAGTATGGCTG